GAAGCCACATTCCAGATGTGAGACGAGCCGCTCACAGCTGCTGGGCCAGCAGATGATGTCTGGTGCTTGTGCTCCCAGCGTCGGGAGTTGTGCGCCCAGTGGCGATGTGACCAGCTGGGCCATTTGCCCCTCTCTCAGGCTCCTGCGGCTCAAGCGTGGCATTTGTGGGGCTGGCACAGTGGCAGGAGGACTCCCCAAAACTTGCAGAGACGCCCCTTTCATCCCACACCGCTTTGCTCGGTGGTTTCAGTACAGCCACTTTGGTGGCAGCAGGCGTGGCCTCCACAGAAGCACCCGTGCCAAGAGGAGAACTGGTGGGGGGGCTGGTCAGGGGGTGCGTGTGACCAGCACATCCTCCTGTTCTGAAGTGTACTGGGAAGAGTTGAAAGCAGCTTGAGGGAAGTATCGTGGCTTCCTCTGCAGGGCCTGATTCTGAGGAAGGTGGCCGGATTGCAGAGAAAGCCATAGGAGGCGAGACGGAGGGAACTGGGTCTCTTCAGCCTGGAGGGGACTCAGAGGGGATCTGCTGGCGACATGCAGGTATGTGAGGGGGTGTCACACGGAGGTGGGGAGAGCCCTGTTCTCCCCTGCAGAGGAAGGCAGGACGCGCTCCAACGGGGCAAAGCTCAGGGAATCCAGGTTCCCTTTGGATGCCAGGAAGCACTTCCTGACAGTCAGGACCCCGAGGGTGTGGAATGGGCTCCCACGGGAGGTGGTGGAGGCCCCATTGGTGCGGGTGTTCAAGGAGAGGCTGGACGTGCACATGGTGGGCATGTTGTGAGCGGAGCCGGCTGGTGCAGGAGGTCAGACTAGATGGCCCAGGAGGCCCTTCGGACTCGCTCTGTTTCTCTGTCTCTGTGCATTCCTTTTGCCTTGTATTATTTTGCACCATGTCCAACTGTTATGAGATTTGCCGTGATGGGACATGGTAATGGCCACGACTCCTACCATTCCGCAGGCTGGCGCAACCTTCTGAGGAGGTGGGTGCCTGGGGAGGAGTGGCAGCATCAATAGCGCCCCCCCAGCTGTTCCCCTCTCTTAGGGGGCAGAGTGGGGGGTGCTCAGGATGCGCTAAAGCCCCGGGTTAATTATGTCCCTCTCACATTCACAGACTTCCTCCTGGGCTCAGACAAACCAAGAGAAATCCCCCGAATGCGCATGGAGTGCAGCTTGTGCATCTGGCAGCCCTCCCCCACATCACCTGCGACAGCAGCAGAATCAGAGGTGACTGCGCATGACAGGGAAGAGAGCGGCTGCTGGCACAGGACCTGTGGGGCTCGCCCCCTGGACAGGGCCATGCCTCTGCCGGGTGCCCGCCAGGAGCCGTCTCACGGCTGTCGAAGCGGAGAAGAGTCTGGGGAGCCGAGCCCAGGGGGTCCGACGGCTCCCGCCCCCACACGGCTCCCTCACACAGGCAGGGCGTGTGCTGTGCCCCTTCCCTCCGCTGGCCAGTGTTCTGAGCTGCGCTGCAGGTCTCTGCCCCACGGCTGGGGCCGAAGCAAGAGGCATGGGGGAGCTGTGCAGGCCCCTTCCATTTGCACTGAGTGTGCCAGTGCAGCTCCCGCTTGCTGAGAAAGCTGTCTCATGTCGCACACCAGAGCAGGTGTGAGCAAAGCGCAAGGCACCGGCAAGGAGGAGTGCGCAGCGAAGCAGCCCTTTTGGGCTTGTTTGTTGTTTAGCTCAGTGAGCGATGTGCGGGGGGCGGGGGGGGGCGATGGAACAAAGCAGCAAAGCAGTGAAGATCTGTTAAAAAGAAAAACGCTAGCTAGCTGCACCAAAACAGAGGAGAAGGAACCTGGCGGCCCACCCCTGGCGGCTGCCTTCTATGCCCCAGCCACCCCTTCCGCTGCACCTGGAAGCAGCCCGCAGAAAACCAATGCAGCCGCTCTCCTGGGTTGGCTTCCCCACAATAGTGCCATCGACTTCGGAGGAGACGCACACGTCAAGACTTGAAACACTATTGCAAATGTTATTTGATTGTTTAAGGCTATGGAGCACAGCATCTGCTCTCCGGTTCACTGGGCAACCGCAAGAGAGTGCGGAGCTGTGGGAGGGAGAGGTCAGGTAGGCACTGGCACAACCAGAGTTTCTCCTCCCGACAGGTGCTTCCTTTCCCTTCCCTGCCAGCGCCAGCCCTCCGAAGCTGCTCCTCCTGGCCCCAGAGGCTCAGCACAGCCGAAGAAGTCTATGTCGGGAAAAGCTCGCCTGTGCAGAAGTCCTGCTACGGCAGGCCTGAAGACGTCGTGGATCTAGCAGCAGGACGAGCACAAGGATAACGAGTGGTCGGCACCACGGGCATCGCGAGCCGGCGGGTCGGACATTCCACTGCGAGCAAACGCGCCCAGCGCAGCGAGCCCACCAGCTGCCGGTCCCGTGGGCATTGCCGCTGGGGGAGCCGGGGTGCAAAGCCTGAGGGACCTTGGCCCCCGCCCACAGGAGCACTTCTTGTGCCCTGACATATCCGCTGCCTTGTGTGCCCTCGCCGAGCGAGGAGGCAGAGGGGCGGCTGAACAGCCTCAGCAGCTGTGCCGACTCCCGAAAGGAGGCCGGAGTGGCTGACGCCGGGCCACTGGCAGCCTGGACTTCCCATTACAGAGGTGGGGAGCGGTGGGGTGTCTTCTGTTACTTGATGCCTGTGTGCAGGTGGGGCAGGAGGACCCAAAGCACCAGGAAACACAAAGCCAGAAAGCTGGGTTCACTGTGCTTCTGCCAAAACCCATATACATATTTACAGTAACAGCAGCACTTCAGCAAAAGCAAAAGTACACCAACTTGCCCTGCAATATCTTCCAACATCTTCAATTCCTTCCTCCCACAGGACTAGCTCCTTGAGTAGAACTGAAGCTCCTCCCTTCCCGAAGTATATCTTTCTTTTGGGGCCACATGGCTGTCCTGGTTAGACCTTCTGTGCAGCAGGGTACAGCCACTTTGCTGCCTGGAGTTCTTCGGTTCGCTGCCTGCCTGCAGCACTCTTCCCCGCAAAAGACTCCCAGCTGAACAGCGAGGCAGTCTGTCTCCAGCTTTCCAATCTAAAAGACACAGCACATAAGGAAAAGGAATTGGGAGAGAGGAGGAAGAAGGCAATACATCAAGCATTAGCTCTTACATTTTAAAGTTCTTATAGGTGTTACTTCTGGGAGGGGAGAGCAAAATAATAAAGCCACAGGGGGTCAGACTAGATGGCCCGAGAGACCCCTCTGACTCGCTCTGTTTCTGTGTTTCTAAGTTCCCTGCAGCTGTCTTGTCTTGGGTGATGTACAGGGCAGCTTGGTCACCTTCTGGCCATGAGGCTTATCCTGGAAGTGGGGCGAACCCTTCCCATGACCCTCAGGTCTGTCCCAGCCATGCTGGAAGAGAGGTGGGGTGTCCATGGTATGAAATGACGGATTTGGCGTGACGGATTTGGCAGCTTCTACTTGGACCAAGGTCGTGTTTCCCCGAAGGAAGTCGCCCCAGCACCAACCTGCCTCTGGCAACATCGTAAACATTGTGGGTTGTTGAATGTGTAAGCAGACCGTGCTTGCAGTGAATACTTGGGGCTGGGAGGCAGCACCAGTGGGGCGGGGGGGGGGGGAGTGTCGGTGCTGCCTCACAGGCCAGGGGAGAGTTGGGGCAGAGGGCGGCCACCAGATCTTCTCCGGAAAGCCATGGGGGGGAACTGTGTGCAACAGCTCTGCCACTGATTTCAGTGGTGCCGGGGACCGGCAGGGGCCTCCAGGCAGGGAGGAGGGTCCGTTTCTCTTACCCCCATTCGCACGTCTTTAAAATCACAGTTCAGTCTCTCCCCGATGTGAGAAACCTTGCCGTGGCCTGGAGCAAGATTCTGACCCCTCGCCTGGGCAAATTCACCAGGGGCCAGCTCCGAAGGGGCCCTGTTGAGCTGGCCTGCGCATGCCTGTTTGGGAGGAGGAGCCGGCCAGAAAAGGCGGGGAAGCACTGCCCAGGCGGCCCCGGGCTTGGGTGGGCGAAGCAGGGTGCTGGCTTCTCCCACCCTGAAATGCGTTAAATGTTTGACTGTGTGGATTTTCGTAAACACATCAATTTAAACAGCCCTGCAACGAAACTCACTTCTGTCCGCTTCCCACTGGATCATCCCACGTGTTCTTAGCCAGGGGTGGGGAGCGCCTGCTCAGATTCCCTGCTTTGAACACCAAACCGCGTGGATCGGCCCCGCGTGGTCCAGAAAACGCTGCACGCTAAAATGTCAGCGTCTCCTTCCAATAAGCGCTGCTGCGGGGGGGGGGGGTGTTTTACAGTCTGCAGCAAAGGTAGAGCTTTGGGGAAAGAAGTCTGAGCCACTTTCCGGGAAAAATAATTCCGAGCAAGGTCCCAGGTCTGGTGGCCGGAGTGCCTCCAAATCGCGCTGCCCAGCGACCCGGGACGCGCGGACAGGGAGCGCGTCGCGCTGGCCGAGGGCGATTTAGGGGAAGTAGCCACGGAGGCGCCCCGCGAAGCCCGGGCGAGAGATCGGTCCTCCCCGGTGCTCCGCTCGCCAGGCAGGGATGGGGAACCCCGCCGGGTCGAGCCCCCAGAGCCGCTCCCGCCCTCGAGCGCCGGCGCTCCCGCCGCCGGGCCGCCTTCAAAGCCCGGGGCTGCTGCTCGTCGCGCCTGGCTCCCGGGGCCCGAGCGCAGGCCTGCTAAAGGCGCGGCGGGGGCCGCCTCGGGACCTCGCCGAACTCGGCGCGGTTCGGACCCGCGCTTGTCCCGGCGGGGGAGGGGCGTGGGGGAGGGAAGGCCGCAGCGCCGCTCCTGGCAGCCTGGGGCCGGAGAGCCCCGGGAGGCACGGCCCCCGCGAAGCGCGGGCGGGGAAGGGCGGCGCGGCCCGGAAGGGGCGAGATCTCTCCGGCCGGCGGCCCGGCCCGCCCGTTGACAGGCAACAAGGCTGCGGTGCGCGGGCGCCGCAGCGAGAGCCGGCAGAGCCGAGCGGGCGCGCTCCGACAGCGGGCGCGGGTCCTCCGGGCAGGCTCCGGCGTGCTCCCGTCCTGCCGCCCTCGAAGGACATGGCCACCAAGGTGGAGGTGCGGGCCAGCGGCCAGCCCGGGGCGGCCCTGGCGGGCGTGCGGGAGCACCTGCTGGCCAGCACCAGGGACTACGCCACCAACCCGAGGCTGAGTGAGTATCGCGGGCGCGCCACGGGCCGCCGGAAAGGGACGCGCGTCGCCTTCGGCTCTGAGCCGGGCTGCGCTCCGTGCCGCTCACGTTTGCTCTCTTCGGGGAGAAGTGCCCGCGCTTAGCTCTGCCGCAGTTCCCAAGCGCGCACGGGCAGCATCAGCCTGGCTCACTTCTCTCTTCTGCTTGTAAGATTCCATCAGCCTAATTCGGCATCTGCAGCTTGCCATAACCTGGCAAGGTTCTAGTCCTTATTGGGAACGCTTTCTGCTCCCCTTTGTGACCATCTCTGCTTGCTTGTCTCCTGTCAATCACTACTTCCAGCCAGACTCATAGCCAGACAACTATCCCAGACGTGTGGGATATTTCTTTAAAACATGTGCAGGTGCTGTCAAGCTCCATCCACTAGGCACCCTTGCCTTGGGTCCTCAGAATGCCACAAGCTTTCAGTTGATGCCGCTGGAGAGCCTGCAACTGGTCTTTAGGGGGTGGGGAAGTCTTGAGTTTTGGATGCAGAATGCAGTGAATCCTTGCTCCACACCCTGGAAAGATTTTGCACCTTGATGATGGAGGGAGAGCTTCTGCCAGGTTTGAATTCTCCTGGTAGTGTGACTGAAGCTAATCTGGCTTGTGAGCGTCTCTTCCGGCACAGTTCTTAAAGGCAGAGGGTCTCATGTGGGGTCCGCCCTGGGGAGCCTTACTGTCTAGGTGTGCGCCTTTGTGGGAGCCACTTGTTCATGGATGTGTGCAGACAGATGTGAGACGGAATCGGGTACCCACGTGAACGCTTTCCTCCCGCAGTGGCTTGCAAGTCTGCCTAGAGACAAACGCTTATGAGAGAGGGATCGAGAGTTTGAGAGAGGTCTTGCTGCCACTCCGCACGACTCTGGTGCGCCCGCAACTGGAGTACTGTGTTCACTTCTGGGCTCCTCGTTACAGGAAGGATATGGCCAGGTTGGAGTCAGTGCAGTGAAGGGCCACAAGGCTGGTGGCCGGTTTGCAGGGGAAGCCAAATGAGGAGAGACTGAGGGAACCGGGTCTCTTCAGCCTGGAGAAGAGGAGACTCAGAGGGGATCTGTTGGCGACATATAAGTACATGAGGGGGTGTCACACGGAGGTGGGGAGAGACCTGTTCTCTCCTGCAGAGGAGGGCAGGATGTGCTCCAATGGAGCAAAGCTCAGGGAACCAAGATTTAGAGTGGATGCCAGCAGGTACTTCCTAAGGTTTAGGACCCCCAGGGTATGGAATGGGCTCCCCTGCGAGGTGGCAGAGACCCCACCGGAGAGGGTGTTCAAGGACAGGCTGGACATGCACATGGTGGGCATGTCGTGAGCGGAGCCGGCTGGAGCCGGGGGTCAGACTAGATGGCCCGGGAGACCCCTTCTGACTCGCTCTGTTTCTATGAATGCAGTTGCCCTTCTGTATCATGGAAGACAGTCACCCAGGAAGAGACGGGGGGCTGTCCATCTGCCTGTCAGGAGGGGCAGATTTCTCTCCTTGTAGAATCAGATCTGTCCTTATATCCCTGGGTGATTGTAGTTGCTTAGATTCAATTCTTTGCTTGCCAGCTTGTGTGTGCATTTCTATTTGTCCTTCTGCGTGCACACGAAATATGTCCAGTTCCTGTTAGAAGAAACCAGCTACTCGCACATGAGGACCATGTGTACTTTTGCAGCTTTCCCTTTTGTTAAGGAAACTCCCAAATGACCTTCACCAAGCCGAATGCCAGCCCAGCCCGGCAGCGGTCCCTGGATTCGGTTCCAGCCTGCAGACATCGCAGTACGGCAGAAATAAACCACTCAGACCTGCCCAGCCCCTGCTCTGACATACCCAATCCAGTCAGCCCACACGGATTTATTATTAACCAAAACAAAAGCGAGAATCATAGGGAAGGCAGGTGTTTTTCCACAGGTACAGATTCTCCCTCCCTCCCTCCCTCCCTCTCTCTCTCTCTCTCTCTCTCTGGTCATTCATGCATGTATGAGAGAGAGAGAGAAAATATAAAGGGGGAATCTTGCCATTGTCATAGTTTGAGACTTACTGATTTCTATCAGTGTGCATGGCCATAAAATACGAACAGGGGGACTCGCTTTCAAGAAGTGTTATACTTGGCTTTAAACAAGTGTGGTCTCAAGCTGCCAGGACTCAGAACGACAAGTGGAACTGGCACAAAGGAGAGTTTGATTGGAGACGGTATCAGAATGATGAGGGAGTCATTTCTTCTGTTGGCCTTTTTATGTGGATGAGCCTAATTTCACACGTTTGAACTAATATGCAAACCAAAATGCAGTTAACCTTCAAAATTCACTCTTCTCCAAATGCTGCAGAGGAGTTCTTTAAGTAAAAGACATATGTACAAACAGACGTATGTCTGGAACAGAGAAAAGTGCACAGGGAAAGGTGCATGGGTTAAATTAATATCAACAATGAATTACAGCAGGAAAATTGCTTGCAACACTTAGCTTGCAACGTGTGTGTATATTAAGCAAAGAGGCAGATACAGCTGCACTTATCAGGAAAGGTGCAGCTTACAACAGACGGGGTTCTGGGTTCTCCGCTTCCCAGTTGCCGCCAAGGCTTTGGGCCTGCTGCCTCCTCTCAGCCTAGCCTACCTCACAGGATAAAATACAGGATGCCCTGAACTCTGCAGGAAAAGAGGGATATATTAGTCGCCCTGTCTCCTGGCACTCACTCTCTCCCGGAGGAAAAGGACAGCCACTTCTCTCATCCCCTTGGTGCCTGATCATGCCAAAATAGCTTTCACCAACCTGCTGCCCTATGGATATTCTGACCTCCCATCATCCCCAGCCAATCATTAGCAGTGGGTGGGGGTGATGGAGTCCTGGACCAGTTCCCCGAAAGGGTGTGCGGTCCTCTCTCTGCTGTGAAGCTCTGTCGCACTTTTCCGGTCCTCCCTGGCGGGGCTCCTGCTCATTTCCCCCACTGAGGCTGAAACTGGAGGGGTGTCTCAAATGGGGCCATGGGGGCCTTTCAGGGAGGGGGGTGGGCAATCCAGTGCTGTGCAGGAGGCATCAGATAGGAAGGCTCTCCTCCCTTCCCCGTCTGGCCTGTTCGGACCTTCTCGTGAATCCCCTGAGGCCGGGCGCAGGCCTGCAGGCATGGCCTCTGCTTCAGGTGACTCCCCCCCCCCGCACTTCCAGGGACGGCTTTGTTGGGGCCCTCAACCCCCCGCGCCCCCCGCTTTTCCTGGGGGCTCCAGAGGCCCCCCCCCCCCCCCCCCGGTCTTTGCTCTGCTCTTCTTCATTTTTAAGCCATGAAAAAGCCACTGACGAGGGAGAGATAGTGGAGGAGGCAGCAGGCCTTCCCAGTGCTCGTCCTGCGACCCCCCCCCAGATGCCCCCACACGGGCCTCTTGGAAGAGGGCACATGGGACAGATGGGGAGGAGGGGCTTGTGGGAGGAAGGATGAGCTCTCCGGTCCCTCCAAACAGGGCCAGGGTCATAACCCCGGACGCCACCCTCCCCGCACCACACAGTTCAACTGTTTCCTGCACCTGCTTTTCTCTGCAGCGCCGTCTGTCTGTCTGTCGGGGCTCCCAAGCACCCACCAAAGACGGTAGAGAAGCATGCGCCCTGCGTCTGTTGCAGAGCTGGGCCACTTCTCAGGGTCTAGGGTCTAGTTCTCACCGCTCGGAGCCCCCTGTGGATCACACCCCCCTCCCCAGCAGAAGGCAAGCAGGGAAAACCGTCGCTCTCATCTTATGGCAAGGCACGAGGAGAGCTGCACTGGGACGGTGAAAAAATTGGTTCGGGGGCCACCAACCTTCCGCAGCCATTTGGCAGCAAGGGCTTGGGAGCTGGCAACAGGCTCAGAAAAGTCCACGGGCCACGGGAGGCCTCCATGGGCCACGGGCCCACCTGCCCGGAGAAAGTGAATTGTCGGCTCTCTTTCCGAGGATTCGCAATCGGCTTCAGGAGCTGTGATGTTCGTTCATTTACGTATTTTGACATTTGTATCCCCTTCCCTAGTCCAACTGGAGTCCTTGGGCCAGTCACAGCATTTAAAATTACACCTGCACCCACATTAAAACAATAAAATTAATAAGAGAGGCCAATTCCATAAAAACAATGAACTATCATCAAAGCAGCAATAAATAAATAGCTCATTGTATGTTCTCACTGGGGGAGCAACCATAAAATGATATGGGATTGCAAACGTTAAATCCAGTCATTAAAAATCATTATTAAAATGTATTGTTAAAATGGCTAGAAAAATGTTTTTGCCTGGTGCGGATATGAGGGTTGTGTCAGCACATGGCAAATCTCTCTGGGTCCACACATTTCCAATGGGGTCTACGAGAGATGGGGTCGACCCACTTGCCCCCAGAGACTCAGCTTCTAGGTTCCTTGCGAAAGGAACGGGGCTCTCAGAATTTCAGCAAGGCGACACATCAGGAATAGTGCTGAATGCGGAGGAGTCCTCTGCAAGGGGGGAGCAGGACCCCCCCCCATGTGAGAGAAGGCAAGCCTCGTTTCCCCATGGGATCCTTTGCAAGGAGCTGGATGGTGGAGCTGAAGGGTGCGCGCCGTTCTCTGCTTCCCCCAGCCTGTTCCTGCCCTTCCAGCCCCCATAACCTTCAAGACACCTCTTCTGCCAGGCGTGAAGGCACACGCTGTTCAAAATGGGTCCAGGCACGGCAGGGTCAGGGGTTACCACTGTGCTGGAATGTGTCATTCCAATTGCGCTCCCCCGCGCCCCCCTTAAAGGGTGGCCTTTCGCACCCTGGTGGACTAGCGTCAGCGGCCGGAAGATGCAGGAGGGGGACTGGGCGCTTGGCGCTTGGAAGGGCCCAGAGCTGGAAACACCTGCTTGCTTTCTTGGATTTCTATGTGTTATCCTGTCTTTACACTAGACTTGGCACCCCGTGAGGCAGAGGGGCTGGCAATCATAAAACCGAGAATACAAGAGAAAGTTAATTGAAGCAGCGTACACCCGAATCTGCTACGGGCAACAGTGAAAAGCAGAGCCAGAAAAGAAGGCC